AGGAAAAGAAAGGCAGTCTTTGCTTGCAGCTTGGCTAGACAGGTTATACTCAAGGGAGGTGTGGTGCTTCTAAGGTCTCTCAGGAGCATAGGTGTACTGCTTGGTGTATATGCATTGAGATAGTGTAAGCAGCCTAAATCAGCTCATGGGCCACCTTCTTCAAGCCTAAATAGGAAGGTGGTATGTTACTCTATTAATTATTCATCAAGATAATGTAATGTCTGCCAGGTGACGCTGTAATCAAACCACGAGCCAAATGGTCTTTTCACAGTCTCTCTGGCACGTGCCACTGCTCTGCATCTCGACTGTAAAGGTTGGTACTAGTGAGTTTAAAATCTAAAGCTGACCACTCTCTGAATTTACCCAGAGGATGATGTGAAATACTACTCAACGCTATTAAAAATGATAAATGTATGGCTCTACCCTCACCCAACATCAGGAATTTCTTTTCTCTGTCCTAAGACCCAGGGAGTCAACATACTGTGGTCATGCAGTATGTTAAACAGAGCAAAAGTGATATACATCTGCCCATGGGCAGGCACATTCTCTTGTTGAGGCCAATAATGTCTCAGGCTATAGCAGCCTACAGCCAGCACCACTGTATCTCCAAAGACAGCTGCTGCGTATCTCACAGTGACAGCAAGCCCTATACCAATATCACTCATCAGGAACCACAATTCCTTATGTGGCAAGCAGGATGTCTCTGTCAAAAAAGAAGGAAGGTTCTAAGGTCCACTTCCTAGTGACTCATAATTTTGTTTCTCTTTATATGAACATGCAGTAGACCCACCTTGGCTCCCTTGGCTCATAGAGATGAAACTCATTGCAAAAATATCTCCTAACTAGGCAATTGTATCAGTAAGAGGAATCAGAGGCATCTGTGGTCCCACGCTCCTCATTTGGCAGATGAGACTCAGAGGCATGAGGTAACTTGTCCAGAGTCACAAAAGAAGTAAATAATAGATGGGGATGGGATCTGGAGCTGTGATTTCATTTGTCTGGGGAACTCCTGGTGAAGAAACTCTTCCAAAGCAAATCGGCACCTTCCCCGAAATGGATAGTTTTAGAGGGTTGCTAGGATAACTGGGAGGTTAAGTGACGATTGAAGTCACACCATAGCCTCCTTTGAGGCTCATTCCTTCCGAGTTTACCACTCGAGTAAGATTCGGGTAGCTGGCATCTGCAGCCACCTTGGACATTTTTCTTCTTTCCTCACTGAGTTCAGTGCCTGGCTCGCTGTCTTTCTCTTCACCCCAACTCCAGGCCTCAAATTAGGGCTCTTTAATGTACACATTGACATTCAAGCACCCTACCTTTTTAATTCTGTAATCTCTCCGTTTCCATGATCTCCCCGAATCCACTTCAGCTCCCTACGGAGTTGTCACACCCTTGGTCTTACCATCACCCATAGGTGTTCTACTTCCATGTTGGTGAACTCCGGAATTCCTTTCTCTAATCATATCTTGTTTTTTCATTCCATCTTTCCTTCTGCCTTATGATCCCTTACCCTGTTTACTGTGATTGACTTACCAATTCCCCCCTCCCCTCAGTTCTTTCCCGGGCCATTACCCCTGCACTATCTTAAGCTCTTTTCCCTTTCCTATCTCAACCCCTCAGTGAATCAGCTGGACTCTATACTATCCTCTACCCTTGAGTCTCTTGTCCCTTCATTCTACCTGTGATCATCCCTTGCCAAACACAGGTCCAGTATTATTTGTATTATTCCCACTGTCCACTGCCTTTGCTATTATTCACATGCTGCTGAATGGAAATGGAGGAAATCATGGAAGCAAGTGGAGTGGGTTCACTACAGATATATGTTATATTATTTCCACAGGGCATTTTTTTTTTTTGCAACCAGGCAAAGCCTTTATCCCTCACTATTGGATTCATTTTCCCACTTACCACCATGGCTCTTCCAAACCTTTTCATCTCTGTTCAAGTCCTCCTTGGCACCACCCTTTCAGCTGAGAGTTAGGTCTCAGACCTAACTGAAAAAATGGAAACAACTTGCTGAGAGCTGCCTCCCTCTCCTGTTCCTCATTTCAAAACAGAATTTATTATCTCTCTCCCCAAATCCTCCCCTTTTCCCAACTTCTGTGTTACTGCTGAGAGCGACACCATCCTCCCAGTCACCCAGCCTGGCAACCTTAGCTCCTCACCCACAGCCACCCCGTGTATCAAGTCTGTGGCCAAGTGTTGTTTCTACCTTCTTGGTACCCTCCGCTTCTCTCCCATTACAGAGTCTCTGCCCTGGTGCAGGCCCTCATTATCTCATGCCTGGACTATTGAAATAGCCTGGGTTGGTCTCCCTGCCTCAAATCTCTCTCCATGAGAATCTATCTTCCATTCAGCTGTCAAAATGATTTCCCTACTGACCGTGTTGCCCAGTGGGGTGTCACTAACCTCCAAGATGACATATAAAGCCCTCTGTTTAGCATTCAAAGCCCTTCACAGCCTGCCCCTTTCCTACCTTTCCAGTCATCTTGCTCTTGCTGCTTTTTAAATATGATACTTCATCTCCCTGAATTTGAGAAAAACACCTCATCTATGTTTTCCCCTGGCTCTTCTTCATTCGTGAAATACTCTCTCCTCACCTCCGCCTTCTCACTTCCTTCAACACCCAGCTCAAATCCTACCTTCTGCAAGAGGACTGTCCTGCTAAGTCCCTGTCATCCGCTGAGATTCCCTTCCATTTGCACTGTATTTATCTTGAATTTATCATTTTTTTTTGCATGCTGTCTCACCCATTAGAGTGTAAGCTCCTTGAGGGCAGGGACCGAGTTTTTGCCTTTCTGTGCATCCTCAGCACTTAGCTCAGTGCCTAGTACATAATAAACCTCCTAATAATGCCTCTTAACTGACTGATAGCCAGGATATGTAAGAGATGGGCTTTAAACTTGGGTCTTTCTTGATTCAAAGTCAACTCTCTATCCACTGCACCATATTGCCTCTCACAAAAGCAGCAAAGCTGAAATGAAGCCTCGGGTCTTTGGACGCCAGATCCAGTGCTCTTTCCACCATAGGACAGAGAGGGCAGCCAGGCCAGGACTAGATGGGGAGAAGCATGAGAGGCAATGGTAAAGCTTGTTTAAGCCCCTAGGTAACTGCAGGATTATGAGTTGGGTCAGGGGAAAAAAGTAGAATGCCTATCATAGAGAAGAGATATGCAGGAAAAAAAGCAGAATGCCTATCAACATTAGTCATGGAAAGGCACATGTAGGGGTATGAAAGCATCTTCAGAGCAGCCTGTATTCTGAGGAGGAATCTGTGTGGTCAAACATAAAGACATTAAGTCTGAGTTGGAAGATCAGCTCCTTTAAGGAGCTTAAAGGTCCACTAATCCAGCTCCCACCTGAGATGAATCCCAGATAGACGGAAGGATAGAGAAGGAGAAAGATGGATGGATAAAAAAACAGATCATTTGTTGTTGTTCAGTCCTTTTTCAGTCATGTCTACTCTTTCTGACCCCATTTAGGGTTTTCTTGGCAAATATACTGGAGAGGTTTGCCATTTCCTTCTCCAGCTCATTTTACAGATGAGGAAAATGAGGCAAACAGGGTTAAGTGACTAGCCCAAGGTCATACAGCTAGGAAGTGTCTGAGGCCAGTTTGGAACTCAGGAAGCTGAGTCTTCCTGACTCCAGGTCCTGAACTGTACTGCACCACCTAGGTGCCCTAGATTAATTGTTGCTTGCTTACTATGCACCAGGTATTATGCTAAGCTCTGGGAATACAAACACAGCCTGACAGTCCCTGCCCTCAGAAAGCTTCTGTTCTAATCGGGAGAGGACAACATAGAAAGGGGACCTGGAAGGGAGGTTCTCTAAAGCCCAACGCCTCAAGGCCTGGTTCTGGGCAAGAAGGTGAAAGCTCACCTTTCAGAGCCCAAGGTGGTTCCAGGGGCAGAGCCCAAGATTTCTGCGGGCAGGAGGTAGAGGTGATGGTAAAATATAGGCAGCATATTGCAAAGATGCTTTTATAAATAACATGCCTGTCAAGTAGCCACACAACCCTTACTTGAGGACCTCCCCTGATGGGAACCCCGAATGACTCAGGGCAGATTATTCCATGTTGGGGCTGAGGTTTACTGGTATAGAGAGCTCCAGGTAAGGAGAGCCCCTCTACCAATGCTAACCAGCCTGCATGCGTCAGCAGCCGGACTCGGGCCTGGGTCTTCCTGACTTTGAAATGGTTTCCGTTTCCACTGGACCACACACTTTCATTCCATTTTTAGGCAGCTCTAATAGTTGGGAATTTTTTTTTCTTGTTTTAAACCCAGATCTGCCATTCTGATTTTTATCCCTTATTTCTAGTTCTCCCTCTGGGGCCAAGGTAGCAAGACCAGGCCTTCTTTCAGAGCACCTGACAGTACCTGAAGCTCTGAGGATGGCCACCTCCACCCCAACCCTTCTCCAGGCTAGCCATCCCCAATTCCTTCAGCCAGCTCTCTCGTGGCATGTGTATTCCATCCCCTCCCCATCCTGGCTGTGGGCAAACTTCCTAAACTGTGGTACCCAGGACTTGACTCAGTAGTCCAGATTTAGGGTGACCAGGACAGGAGGGCTCCTCAGACTTCCCTCCGCCCCAGGGGAGGAATAGGAGCAGGGCCAGAGGTACACTCAGAAGGCTCTTGTGCTCTGTATTCTCTTCAGCCCTACAACTTTCTATTTGCTCTGTTTCTCAATAATTACTCAGTAAAGCATCTTCTGAAAACCCCAGCATTTATCTGGGTTGAACTAAGAGAGGAAGTCCTAGTGAGAGGGAGGAGCGGAGCTTGGAAGGCTCCTTGGGGTGCTAGCAGCCTTGGGATGCCCACTCTGGGACATAGGGTTTGTTAGAGGAAACTTGGGGGAGCAGGTCCTAGCTACTCCTAGGGCTGTTCCCTGTCCTAGGATACCCCAGTCAATCCATCAATCAACAGGTATGTATTAAGCGCCTACATGTGCCGGGCCATCTCTCTGAGGGGGTGCAGGGTCCAGAAACTCCCAGACTCAGAGCTCATTTCAAAGACTTTTATTGTCCTGGAAGTTTTCTGTGCCTTGTGGGGGACCCCATGACCACTAGGTCTCACTCACTCCACCTCCATTGTCTGTACAGTCTCCTCAATCATCTCCAAGGCCAGAGGTGTCACGGTTTCTTTCATCACTGCTGTAGTACCCTTTGGGTAGTCATACTTGCCCTGCCTGAGAAGTAGGGGTTGGGGCAGTCCATTTATGGTCATGTCCTTCCTGCTGTCTGCATTATGCTTCTCACCCACCCTCCAGACAGTCCTTGACCTCTCCTTTTCCTGGTGTAGTCCCATCCCCACACGCTGTCCCCCTGCCAGGTACCTGGCTCCTCACCTCTTAGAGAGAACAGCTGGAGTGCTCACTGCCCTTTGGATCTTGATGCCAGCTTGGGTGATCACACACACATCCACGTTGCTTCCTGAGCCCAGGTCCTCCAGGATTCCGGCAGTCACTGCCTCCACCACCAGCTGCTGCCCTTCTTCCAGCTGGGGGTCAGTGAGGGGACAGCCAGAGGTGGGAAAGGAGAATTAGGGTGAAGGAGAGTTAGCGGCTCAGTGAGTGTAGAAATAAAGGGAAATGAAGGGATTGAGGGGACATAGAAACAAGAAGGAAGAAGGTAAGTAAGTGGAGGTGATGAGGGGACAGAAGATAGGGAAGGGTGAAGGGACAGAGATGAAGGAAGCGAAGAGGCACTGAATGGACAGAGAGATGAGGGAGACAGAGGGGAAGATGGCAAGGGGGGATAGTGAGGGAACAGAGGGAGATGAAGGGGATGGGGGAAGTGAAGAGGGCATGAATAGAGCAGAAAAAAGTGAGGGGTGTGGCAGCCTTGCATGGTGGCAGTGAGGGGGACAGAGAAGGGGTAAGGAAAGGGATCAGCCATTCTAGCCATCCCAGGCTTACCCCCCCATCCACCCATCCATTCCCCCTTGCATCTCCCACTCTCCTCCTCTGGTCTTTCTCCCTAGGTCTCATTCCCATGTTCTCTTCAGGAAGTTGAGGCAGCTAGTTCTCCATCTCCCTTCCCCCCACCAAGCCTAGCCTCTTAAGGCACTGTGATCTCTCCAGCCCAGCCTACCCCAAGTGTGGACAAACTCCTTTTATTTAATGCGGCTGCCTATCTCATAGAGTTGTCCTGAGGAAAGGGCTTTGCCAATCTCAATGCACTTCTGAGATAAAACCTTTCACCAGAATTTAAAAAAAAAAAAGACCTAGAGTTCTTTCACTAGGAAACCGAGGTCTGACCAAAACAGAACAAAAAGACCCTGAAGGAATGAGCCTGCAGGGCCCAGCGGCTGGATCCCAAGGGAACCAACCCCAGGCTGGGAGAAGAATGTCAGAGCCCCAGTGCCAGATCTTCACTCGACTTTGTCAGGGGTTGGGGGCTCTGTCTGTCCTTGAATGAAGCTGTGTTTCTTCACCTGTTCTGAATTCTCATTGCCAGGCGGCCTTAGGAGCATTCGGTCACAATCTGTCTCTCTACACCTTGTACCCATTGAACCTATCTCTGTCTCTGGGACCAAGCAGATCCTACGGACCCTCCCCCCCCACTCCAAAATCCCCACAGTCCATCTACAGTTTGCCCACTCCCTCCCATCTAATGGGGAACACACATAAGCACCTTCAGATTTGCAAAGTGTTTTACAAGCCTTCTATCTTAGGAGCAGGCTGCTTTCTCTTCCCATTTCAAAGCCATCTTGTGCTTTCCCACAATTCAGCCCCCTAACGCATTCTCATTTCCTGGCCAAGGACGAGTCTACCTCTCAGCTCATTTACATAGCCGGGGAGGTGATGAACTGGGGCCTGAGCTTAGCGCATCCCACCTTCTTCTCACATCCCCCAGGTTCTCAGTCAGGCCCAGGGACTTTTCTTTGATGGGTTTGCAATAAGACAAACGTTCTCCACACCTAGTGCAGATAGCACAGAGCTGCTCCCCATGATAAAGGAAGCTGGTTTCAGTGCAGCTGCAGATGGAGAGGAATGAGAAGATAGGGAGAGCTGAGGAGAGGGGGGAGGATGAGGATAGTGGGCCAGGGGCAGAATGGGGGAAGGGAACTCTCACCGTCATATCTGGTTTGAAGCGATCCTCTAGCACAGAAATGGCCGGTCCCTGTCCAGAGCCTTTTGGAAAGTAAGGGAGGATAGTATTGGTGAGCAGTGATAGATTTTAGGCAACCTCCCTCAGCTTTCTCCCTTGAGGGGTCCTTTCCACAATCACTCAAGACACACTTCCTGTCCTGGTCTGCTGCCACATACATATAGGACTGGGAGGGCTATTTTGGGGGGTGGGGAGTGGGGTAAGGGGGTGGAGTTGGGTAAGTATCCTTAGAGACATTTCTCAGAGGTCTCTAATAATAATAGCTAATATTTATATAGCACTTTAAAGTTTACGAAGTACATATTATCTCACTTGGATCCTCACATTAACCCTGTGAAATAGGGTGCTATTAATAAACCCATTTTATAGATGAGGAAAACAAGTCTGAGTGAGGCTGGGCAAGTAACTTGCCTAGGGTCACACAGCTAGTAAGACAAGGATTCGAACTCAGTTCTTCCTGACTCCAAGCCTAATGATTCTCTATCTGTTGTACCACCCAGCTGCCATGGAAGTTATTACACTGGAGTAGATTTAGAATGAATATAAAGAAACCCTTTCTAACGATTATTGGCATCCTGTCTAAGGAAGCGAAGTGGAAAGGGTGTTAGATTTGAAGTTGGAGGTCCTGGATTTGAATCCTGACTCATCTGTTTACTGCCTATGTGACTGGGTCAATTACCTAAGCTCTCTGAACCTCAGTTTTCTCATTGTGAAATCAGGGTATGGACTAGATGGCCTCTGGATGTTTTCTGAGAGTTTGTGATTCTAGGAGTCTGGGGGTGGGGGAAGGTCTGTCTGATTAGGGGTCAGGGACTCACCCATGGCAGTGAAAAGGAGATGGCTGTAGGAGCCGTGGGGATGCACGCTGTAGAGATGGGGGCCTGTGATATCCACTCCCCCTATAATCAGGGAGGCTCCAATATGGCCCTGGTAGCTGTAGGGAGAAATCTATCATTTCTCCTCCCCACGCCCAGGTTCCCCCAAACCAGCCCCATTTCCCTCCAGCTCTTGCCTCCCACCCCATTTGTCTTCCAGTCCTCATCCCAAGGATTCACTCTGTCTGCCTCCTTCCCAGATCTCCCAAATCTCTTCTTAATGTCCCCTCCCCAGCTCCCACAGCACCGGAAGAGCATCTGGCGAAGCATTCGTGAGACGGTGGCCACCCGTGGCTTCCGGCCGGTGGACAAAGCATGTAGCTCCATGTTGGACGCCATTAATTGTGTGGTCATCTCTGCATCCGCTGCCACCCCTGCCCCACAGCAGCTGAAGGGAGAGTTGGTATTAGAGCAAGGGGAGAGGGTCAAGCTAGCCTAGGAGTGAAGCCTGGAGCAAAAGGCCAGCTAATACTCATTATGAAAAGAACATTGAGTTTGGAGCCAGAGGGCTTGTTTTTTGAATCTCAGCTCTGCCAATAGCTCATTTCCTCCCCTGTGGACTCAGTTTCCTCATTTGTTAAATAAGAGAGTTGGCTGAGATCACTTTTGATGGCCCCCTCCAACTCTAATTCCTATGTACTGAAGTCTGAGGATGAATAGGGGAGATGTTGGGCAGGGAGGTGAGATAGGAAAGGTGGCTCACTAGATATTGGGAGCGATGAAGTGGATTTTTTCACAGTTTTTGTTAGCCACAACTGAATCATTGGTGGCCCGGGTGTCTGCCCCAAGGATGACTCCCCCCTAGAAGAGAGGTCAGGGTTTAGTTCCAGCACTCAATACCCTACTAGCACCATCTCTACACTTCCCCCCCCAAAATCAATTCCCCTCACCCTCCCCAGCTGAACTGTCCCTCTCATTCCCATCCCATCTCCCATCCCCCCTCACCTCAAACACAAGGCCAGCGATGGTGGTACCAGTTTTTCGGGCATGGGGGACACGAAGTCCCTTTAGGGAAGACTCTAGAAATGCATTTCTGGGGTGTGGGAAAAGGAAGAGAAGGCCTTCTGGAGCCAGGAACCACACTAGAGGAGTCTTCCCAGTTCCTTGAACATATAGCCTTTCTATCCAACATAGGATTATTTTTAGTTTTCCCTCCCTCCCTCTCCAGGACCTGCTATCTAAGAATGGCATCACCCCCTCAAGAATTCCCCCATCCCCTCCCCCACCTAGCCAGTTTCACTTTTCTTTCCCATTCCCAGAAATTCAAAGCAAAGTACCCAGAGTCTTCAGAGAGGGGGGGATCAGGGACAAGGCAATTCCCTCCCTCCCCAGTCCTGGACCAGGCCCCCAGTCTCAGCCTGGCGTTCTCTTACCTCTGGCAGTTTTCGAAGGAGAAGCCCCCCTGAGGCTCCCGGGCTGAGTGCAGCATGGTTTGAGCTGGGTGGAGGTGAGGCTGCTCCAGGCTCAGCAAGGGTGACCAAGAGGAGGCTGGAAAGGTTGGGGAGGTCAGGAAGGGGCAAGAAGGAGGTGCCGGGGTAGGGGTTCCTGCAGGACAGTGAGGGGACTGTGCACGACCTGTTTGGACACTTCCTTTTCTTGTAACTTCAGCTTTCACTTTCACCTTGGCTACCGAAAGAGGAGTGGCTGGGGTGTTGGTGAGGGGTGGAGGAAGGTGGGGAGTAGGGAGGCTGCCTGAGCTCTTTTCTGGAGCATCCTCCCATTCCCACCCTGTCCCTTCCCCCACATCCCATCCCAGCTTAGGGCCCCCATCCCTAGTGCAGAAGCATCAAACACAGGAGCTCCCTGCTTCCTATTTACTTCTGCTACCAGTACTGAGGGCTTTGCAGGGGTGGAACAGGGGTGGAGTGGGGTGGTGTGGAAGAGGGTCCGTCCAGGGATTGGTGACCCTGGGAGGGTAGCTCCTCATCAGTCATGCTAATGACCACAGGGTGGCCTTGGTTAAGTAATTTTGCCTCTCTTTGACATAGTTTCCTGATATGAAAATGAAAGGGTTGAAATTGATCTCTGAGGTCACTTCCACCTCAGGCATTCTAAGATCCTTATTCTGTTCAAATGTTCCATCCCCTTCCCCTTTCTTGCCCTCTTCACAATCAAGCATAGATGTTGGTCTTAAGTACAATAAAGTTGCATCCAGGAGTTAGGATGGAAACAGTATACATTCCCTCAGCGACAGAAAACATAGTGACTAGCTGGTTACATCCCACTCAGGAGACACATCACTGGGAGATCAATTAGCTTCAGATTATTCAAACCGAAATACCTCATCCAGATCCATCCTGGTAATAATCATGATAAGTATATATGTAATATATGTGTATATGTGTGTAATTAATGTATGTATATGTATATATGTAATACACACACACATATATAGAATACTTTAAGGTTCGCAAGGGGAGGTAGATGCTATCATTTCTATTTCACAGGGGAGGAAACTGAGGCAGGCAGAAGTTAAGTGACTTGCTTCGGGTCATACAGCTAGTATCTGAGGGAACATTTGAACTCAGGTCTTCCTGAAGCCAAGTCCAATGCCTATCCATTGTGACACCTGGCTGTCTCTGGTGGGAAAAATGTTCTGTGTCATCAAACCACTTGAGAGAATAAAAAAAAATCTCTAAGGAAAAGTGACCTACCCCTCTCCCCATCCCTCTCTTTCTCCCTTTTCTCACTCCCCATTTCTGTCTTTCCCCCCCTTCTCCCTTTGTCTTTTTCTCTCCCTCTCATCTTCACTCTCTCTTTATTAATGGCTTTCCCTCCACCACTATAAACTTCTCAGATCTGCACTAGCCTGAGAAAAAAAAAACAAAACCTTTAATTAGCTTTGTTATCCCCTCAAACCGTTAGCCTGTCTCTCATCCACCTGTCTCAGCTAACTCCTAGGAAAAATTATCTGTACTTGTCGCCTTTACTACTTTACCCCTTTGCTGTCTGGCTTCCTGTGGCACCAGTTAACAGAAACCTCTCTCTCCAAGGTTACCAACACCTTCTTAACTGATAAATCAGACGACCTTTGCTTATTCTGTTTTAAAAGAACCATTACCTTTGTGACATCCCCACCCTAAGTAAGCTCATGTGGCTTCCTGAAGGATGACACATGGCGCGACATACGTTACAGAGACATGACTTGGCGGGGAAGCTCAGAAGACAGAGTTGGTTTCCAGAGAAGGTGAGATCTCTTAAATGGCTAATGAGAGCCCTTAGAGCTTCAGGCCTGTGAAGAAAACCTCCCACACCCCCAACATGATCACCACTCTGTAATATAGTTTTAAATCTGGTACTGCTAGGCCACCATCTTTCATTTTTTTTTTGGCCTTTTGTTCTTCCTCATGAATTTAGTTATTGTTTTTTCTAGCTCTATACAACAATTCTTTGGGAGTTCAATTGGTGTGGTATTGAATAAATAAATTAATTTAGGTAGAATTGTCATTTTTATTATATTGGCTTGGCCCACCCATGAGCAATGAATATTTCTCCACTTGTTTATATTTGTCTTTATTTGTGTAAAAGATGTTTTGTAATTGTGTTTATTTACAACATTGTCTTGGCAGGTAGACTCTCAAGTATTTTACAATGTCTGTAGTTATTTTAAATGTAATTGTTCTTTCTGTCTCTTCCTGCTGGGTTTTGTTGATAATATATAGACATGCTAATGGTTTACATGGGTTTATTTTATATCCTTCAACCTTGCTAAAGTTGTTCATTGTTTCAACTAGTTTTTTCAGTTGATTCTCTAGGATTCTCTAAGTATAGCATCATATCATCTGCAAAGAGTTATAGTTTTGTTTCCTCATTGCCTATTTTTATTCCTTCAAATTCTTTTCCTTGTTTTATTGCTATAGCTAGCCTTTCATTTTGTTTCATTTTGTTTTGTTTTGTTTTGCTAGGCAATTGGGGTTAAGTGACTTGCCCAGGGTTATACAACTAGTGTCAGGTGTCTGAGGCCAGATTTGAACTCATGTCCTCCTGAATCCAGGGCCGGTGCTCTATCCACTGCATCACCTAGCTGCCCCCATAGCTAGCATTTCTAAGACAATATTGAATAATAGGGGACATCCTTGCCTTACCCCTAATCCTATTGGGAAGACTTCTAGATTATCCCTATTACAGATAATACTTGCTCTTCATTTTAGATAGATACTTCTTATCATTTTGAAAAAGGCTAGATTTAGTCTAATGTAGATCGAAGCATACTATTTTCTTTCTCTCTTTTTTTTATTTCTTCTTTCTTGTGGTTCTCCCATTCATTCTAATTCTTCTTTACAACATGACTAATGTGAAAATATGTTTAATAAGAATGTATATTGGGGCAGCTAGGTGGCGCAGTGGATAAAGCGCCGGCCCTGAAGTCAGGAGGACCTGAGTTCAAATGTGACCTCAGACTAAACACTTGCCACTTACTAGCTGTGTGACCCTGGGCAAGTCACTTAACCCCAATTGCCTAAAAAAAAAAATGTATAGGTAGAGCCTATATCAGATTGCATGCTGTCTTGGGGAGGGGGGAGGGGGAGAAAATTTAAAATTCAAAAGCTTATGGAAGTGAATGTTGAAAACTAAAAATAAATTAATTTAAAAAAAGAAAAAAGAAAAGGCTCCATTTATTCCTATGCTTCCTATTGTTTTTTAAAATAAGAATAGGTATTATATTTTGTCCAAAAAAAGTATAATTATTTTTTAAAATGAAATGAGCAGAACCAAGAAGAACAGTTTACATAGTAACAGCAATAATGTAAAGATAATCAACTGTGAAAGGCTTAGTAACTCTGATCAACTATAATTCCAAAAGTCTCATGATTAAACATGCTATCCACTTCCAGACTGGGAACTGATGGACTCTGAGTGCAGATGGAAACATATGTTCTTTTCCTTCCTTTTTTAAATCTTGGACATAGTTAATGCAAGAATTAGCTTTGCAGGATTATATATATTTGTAATGGATTTTATTTTTCTTGCCTTCTCAATGGATGAGGGAATGGGAAAGAGGAGAGAGAGAGAATTCAGAACTGAAAATAAGATAAAATTGAATTTAAAAATGTGTTTCGAAGTGTCCTAGAAATAAGGCAGGGGTGGAGAGGGAGGCCATGAGCCAGGTACTGAACTCATTTAGAAAGGAGGGAGAATGTCTTGGGGGTTGATAGATAGAGGCTATCAGAATCTTGATTGTATAAAACATTTTGATTGCACAAACTTAAAAAATGAAGAAGTTCCTTGAGTGATGGTGATAGAGAGAGGATCTGGAAGTGTCAATCGGGAGCAAGGAATATTCTGATTCCTTACCATGACTAGTGAGTCTAGGGGTAAGAGAGAAAATGAAGCCCGTACTGGAAAGCTGGTCAGAGATGCAGTGACATCCAGAAGGAAGCAGGTCTTAGGGAGAGCTAGAAAATGGCAAAATAAAAAGTTTAAGATGAAAGGAAGTTTGTGAATCATGAACAAAAATTCCACAGAGGGCATGGTGGAAGGGGCAGACAGATCTGGAGTTGGACATTGGGAAGGTAGGAAGTGGATGGGAATGTTGTTGTTTATCCTTCATTCTTGAAGAGGACCATGACAATAGGAAAGTGATGTCATGACTTGCAAGTGCTTTGCATTGAAGTAAGGCAGGGCTGTGCAAAGTCACCAGCCTCACTCTCTCCTCCAGAGCCATCTGGGTCCAGTGGCCAGATATAAATCAGGACAACTAGAGATGGCCCTAGATGCAGTGGAAGGTCTTGGCCTTTTTAAACTAAGGTCTTTCCCAGGTCTCAGTTTGTCTGAGGCAACACCCGTTCAGTAATTAAAGCTACATAAGAAATGAGACAAAAAATGGCCTCTTTTACCTACTTAGAAAAAAAAAAACTGGGGGCAGCTAGGTGGCACAGTGAATAGAGCACTGGCCCTGGAATCAGGAGGACCTGAGTTCAAATCTAGTCTCAGACACATAACACTAGCTGTGTGACTCTGGGCAAGTCACTTAATCCTAATTGCCCTCACCAAAAAAAAAAAAATCAATCTGGGAGAGATAGACCAAAACTGTGACAGTTAACTCTTTTGCCCTATGTTGTTTCATTTATTATTTCTTGAAATACAGCACTAGAAAAATGAGGCTTCAGTAAAGCCCATTGGAATTCAAATGGAGCTACTTGACCATGCCTTAAACCCAAATCACTCTGGCTCTCACTGACTGGCCAACAATAGGTCCCAGCTCAAACCTCATTTGGTCATTGTTTGGGTTTTGATAGTTGAGAGTGAGGATGGGAATGAGGGCCCACATAATTGAGGTTGTGGAGATTTGTTCTCATGAAATTGGTGGTTCAGAATCTCAAGGATGGAGGTCTTCAGTGTAGAAGGCTGCAGAAAATTCAAGAGGGATGAGGGCTAAGAAAAAAATCACCAGATATAGAAATTGAACATTGTGGCCAACCTTTATGGCATGCAGTTCTAATCATGTGGTGGGGCTGGAAGCCGGATATCACTTAATTTTATATATGTAAATGTACTTATCATATAATATTATGTTCCATAGGTACATTTGTGTCTTTTCTCCCTATATGACTATAAAAACTACAGGGATCCTTTCCTATCTAAACTTTATATCTCTCCTTCATCCCCCATTGCCTATCACAGTGCTCTGCACACAATACATGCTTAATCAATGTTTAT